TGTGTGTGTGTGTGTGTGTGTGTGTGTGTGTGTGTGTGTGTGTGCATGTGTGTGTGTATGTATGTGTATGTGTATGTGTCTGAGTGTGTGTATGCGTGTGTCTCTGAGTGTGTGCATGTGTGTCTGAGCGTGTGTGTATGCATATGTGTGTGTGCACATGTGTGTGAGTGTGTTTATGTATATATGAGCGAACTGAAAAGGAATGCAAAGTCGAGGAGGATCGCAGGTGAAGATGTGCTGTGAGGTAGCAGTCTAGTCAGAATTGAGAATATACTGTGTAGACTGAGCAGAAAGGAAGGGTCGATGAGACGACGAAGTAATGAGGAACAGACGTCGCACAGTGACTAAAGGTCATTGTTGCGACAAAAACGGTATTTATACCTTGCTGGTCACTCAACTTCGGGTACAGTTGCTTTTAACCGCTGGATTGGGTTGATTTATTCCATTAATCCTTCACAGTGCACTTAACTGCAGGTGGTTGTCGAATTTTGCATTGGTTGCATGCATTTCTTTTTGCGTCTGCAGTGCTCGCACATTTTTACTGTAATCTTATCCGAAGGTTTTCAGATAGCAATGAACGTAAATGGCAATGATAATGGTGTAGATGTCGATCTAACGGTGGCGCAAGGTTGCTATCTGTTGGAGGAAGCCCATAAATGTATCCTGGAAGCGATCGGCTTATTTTCTGGCCCAAAAGAGGACTCCGAGTGAGCAAATCATTGTTACCTGATTTTTGTCGTTGCGAATGACGTCACTGATCCATTCAGTCTTGCTCTGTGTTTACTTTACCCAAGTGGAATCATGTTTTTACGCCCAATTGAAATTTAGCATCGGGTATAAACTTATTTATGGAGCTTGGATGCAGTGCTTCTGGCTGTGGACATATAATTATCTAGATATTTTGCATTTCTGCATTCTTCTAAAGTGCAGATAGCTGTATCCCAAAAATCGCGGGAATTATTCAGCCTACTATTATGTAAACGACCCTTAATTATTCTCTGATCTATTTTGTTTGATTGATTATTAACACTGATTAGAGTAAGCATCATTATCCTTATTCTAATCGTTTAAGTCTCATTTCTGTTCGATCCCAGAGCTTTCCCTCATGCTTAATGTTTCATTTGAAAAGAATTCAAAATGTTTATTTCATTCTGTCACTTCCAAATACTTTTGCTTTTTTTTAACAGTTCAAATAATGTACTGGATTAACGGACAAAAATTATGTATATTGTGACCAGTTTCTCTTTCTTTTACCTTTTTTTATAGATTGGCGCTAGATAATCACACCTTCCGATTAGCTGTCCATGCACTTCGACGTGGTGTACTCGCTGTACGTGTTATTGAGTTGTTTCCAAGTGGTCTTTTTGAGGGTATTACTTATTCGTGTTTTTTTTTTTTAATCAATACAATACCGTGTTTTCATTACTATACCTCCTCAGAAATACATCAACTATTACAAATCCTTTTTTCAAAAGATTTGGTGTATTATGATCAAAATACAATTCTATCGCACTGCTACCAGATCTCAATTACCAAATTCGCTTTGTCATAAAAGATAAATCCATTGATACTTAGCTAGCTGGTAGTAGCAGTATGTTCCACTTTCATGATCTTGATATGAATATTCTTGTCTTGAAGCCTCTCAGAACCTTACTCTATAATTCTAAACATATATGAGCACTTTTTTTAAATTTACAATCCATTGTGACTTTCTGATTTCACTTCTGAAAGTTCTCCCCAATCTTTTGTTGCTTTTTAATACTTAATCCCTCGATAAATTGAGAGCTGTTCAACGTACATATGAGTTAGAGCAATTCATATAACCCATCAAACAGAAAAAGCAGTTATAGAGCATTAACAGTGATAAGTAAGCATAGTTTAAGACGAAATCATGAGAGACTTTCCGGAGACTGTCGTTGTGTTCATATCTTCTGAACTGAGAAGCGTATTGCACGAAAAGACTAGATAATTTTGATGGTCCTGACGGTATATTTTTAGGGATATAAGATTATTAAAAATTGAGTCCATCATTTGTCGTCCACTTCTATTTTGGGAATATTTATTGTGACCAGTCATTCGCATAAATTATTTTAAAAGAAATTCCACTTCATGAAAAGCTCTTTCAGAATTAGCCCGTTTGGAGCATGCAAAAGCTGAGGGGAAAATATCCTGGGAGCTCGTGCGATGTGGTGCTTGTGAATGTGAACATACGTCTGGTGATGATGGCAATTTATCGGTGATTTTTTTTTTTCTTGCTTATTCACCACTGTCTTTGTTTTTGTTGGTCCTTGTCAGCGATGACTAGCAGTTTTGTTGTTTGACTAGCAGTTTTGTGACCTGCTTGCTTTTGGAACATATGCTTTACTCTTCTGCTCAATCGTTGCGACATGCATACATTCTCAAATACCAAAGCTTTTCTTAGGTTGATTATGGATCTCCCCATTAATTCATTTTTCTTTTTTGTTTATGCGAGTGCTCAGCCTTTTGCAATTGTTATTTTGGGAAATTGCTTTCAAATTAATTTCAGGATTCTGATTCTGAGAATATAAAAACAAGACAATTAAAACGATGGACTGTGAATGTGGTTGATGGTTTGAGACGCCATTTAGTCGGTATCACGTTGATGTGTTACTCTGTTTTGCTTTTGTACTATATAGTTCACACTAAACGCGAAGCCTCTAATTTTATCCATGCATTGGATTATTGTAATGACGTAAGTTAAATTAAATTATTTCCTATATAAATCGAGTCCCCGAAACATTTTTTTTTCCACTGAAATTTGTTTACATCTTACAATCCTACAGGAGTTTAATCTGATAAGTAATTCATCCTGAACAGTTTTTTATGAAGAAACCCATCTGCATAAGGGCATTTAAAGATGCATACCATATTAAATGCACTGGATGATCTTTGAGAATTTTTGCCGTTTTGATCAGCATGTATTATAAAATTCCAAGATCAGATTGATTTTCAGAATTTGAAATTTGTAACAATGTCTTACTGTTGCTATTTTCTATAGGTTTTATCGTTCGTTCCTGGTACTGGTACCTCGTTGTTTGACAGGGAATTAGCACTTCTACATGCACGTCATCTCATGGAGAACTGCAGATTTGATGGTATAGATTTGCAGTTTCAGTGACTTTGTGGAAATATTTATTTTGTCCTGGTTGAAATTTGAAAACGAACTCTTTAAGTTATGTAGGCTGAAGTCTCTTCAACGCACTTTTTTTTTTTTCTCTTTGATTTCTCCGTTTTCTCTTCCAAAAGAACTCTCATTTAATACCAAACATTGTTATAGAGTCTGAAATCGACGAAACGGTGAAAATTTGTTTGATGTTGTTTGAAGAAGAGCGAAAACGGGAATTACGCGACTCTGGACGGACGCATTTTTTACAGATTGTTCATGCACCCTGTAAAGATAAAGTAGCATTCGGTGGATAGATTGACATTTTCTTTTCGTGTTTGTAAATTCAATTTTTGTATATCGAAGAGCTTAACAATAGTTTACCCATAGTGGGAATTAAAGAATCGATAAATGAAGCAAATAGGATAAAGATAGGACCTTTTTTTCTGCATCAACTCTAAATTGCAGAGATCAAGCAAGAATTAAAGAAAATTGAATTCATTTATTTTAAAAGTTTTGATAAGAGAGAAAGCTTTTGAAAATTTTGCTAGGTTCAGCGGATTATTTAATAACTACTGACGTTGCATTTTCCACATTTTCTCTTTTTTACTCTTTCCACTGCAATGCCTATATCCCAACAACACTGCTAAAATTTAATTAATTTTGAAATTTATTCACCAGGACTTTTTCAATTGCAATAATGGTTGTTGATTTTCAATTCGTAACGATTCCAGAGAATTTGTCCTTAACATCTAATTATTTCTCTTTTCTTAAGTACTCATCCGGAAGTTTGCAGTGTACATAGATGATTTTCGCAATGTGCCGTGTTACTTCAGAGTATCTCTGTGCGAAACCTATTTTTTTTAATTACTAAATTTATTGTGAAACTGTTCATACTTCGGGAACTTATCAAAGCGCTTTTCAAGATTCCATTGCGATTTCTTGCCGCAACAATTAAAGTTTCTTTATTCATATTGAGTCGTAAAGTACTAGACATTTATTTTGTTTAATTCATCCGTTATCAATGTTGTCGTTACTTCCTTTTCACTTCAGGTTATGGTTTCCAGTTCATTTTTGTCAAACCATCTGTGTTGTTGATCACAGCAATAGTGCATCATTTTGGAACCCATACGGATGTTACCAACACTGATCGCATTTGGAATTCAGTTTTTATTCTAAAAAATTTTGTTGGAATGGAAAACAAGTGAAAATTTAATTTAAATTTATTGAATTAGTCTATAGGTGTTATAAGTTCACTGACTCCACAAATTAGCTATGGTATCGTTTGTACGGATTCCTAAAATTCAAAATGACTTTCAAATCACTGATCTCTGTGCCCAATGTTTTTCATGTATTGATCGTTTTAGTTCGTGATTCTTGTTTAATCAATCTGGCTTTATTATTTTTTTGTTGTTGAGTTCTTGAATAAAAGTTTTCTAAAGATGTTTTGACTTTATGAACAGCATCTTAGTTTAAGAATGCCATGCCAGTCGAGTTGATTGGCATTCTTTTATACTTACAGTTGAATAGTTGGGACCTCCCAAAAAAAGAAATGTTAAACTGCCTCAAATGTAAAAGTAATGGTCATTTATTAGTAGTTCATGTGAGCAGTGAACAATAGTTATGGAAGTTCCTCACAGGCTACTTTTCGATTGCTGCTTGGTGGTTGTTGTTATTTCCGTGAAGAATTTGTTGCTATTGTTCGGCTTTTGGCTATCGGTGAGTTTGATGTGACTGATTGCAGATTAATCCCCTCCTGAAAGGATCATTTTTCTTCATGATTTTCCTGAATCTTGAAGCTGTTGTAGTGATTAGTTTGGTGTAGTGTACCACTAATTCATTTAATGTGTATTTGAATCACAGCTGAATTGATGTGACATATCCTTCAAATCGATCGTTCGTGGAATTCTGTCATCTTGTAACAATTTATAACCGTATTTGAGGATTACTTAATGGCATTGATGAAAATGTAACAGACAGATTATTTGTTGATTTCTTTGATCTAGAAATGGGTCTCTATGCTGAATGGCCACTGATTGAATTCTTTCCATTAAATAGTGCTCAGTCATCTTTATCGATTTTTTCGAAGTTTGTTTTTTATTTGCAAATAATTTTCTACTTATTTCTGAGCAGTGTCATAATTTCAGCAACTTATTCTGACTTGACGGGTGCGCAGTTGATATTTCAGAAAAATTTAGTAATCTGTTGAGTTTCAAAATGTTAAAGTCAGTGTAATTGTTTTTATTTTGCAGAAAGACAGGTGATAGTGTAGCGGAGTTATTGCTACACGAAATCGGAGAGGATTTAAATGGACAAATATGCCTTGAAATTGATACTGAAGAACAATTGTCATGGGTTCTACAGGTCCTTTTTCGTATTCAATTTTGAGAAATTAAACGATGTCAAAATACAAATTCGAACTGATTCTTGCGAACATAAAAAATGATAATAAAATGAATAGGCTGGACTTTATCCAAACTCCCAAGATATTAATGGATATGGATCATTATTTTCACACATGTCTATTTTGGAACAAACAAATCACTGAATTCTCATGATTTATATGTTTGTGTATTCAGTCAAAAAACGATTAGTGCGATATGACGTTTAAATCAGTTTACTCGAAGAGACATTTTATGAGCATAAACTGTTTGACGAAATCTGTGGTCCGAAAATGGTTGTCTGCATTGAATAGCCGCACATTTAATTTTTTTCTACGCGTTCAAAAATCACCACATCAACTCTTAAGTTGTAATACAGCTTGTGTAGAAGTTGTAATTTCGTCTTCTCAGTGATCAGGTCCCAAAACTTCCCACTCGAGAAATCGGACGATTT